ATATCATTAGAATCATTAGAATCATTAGAATCATTAGAAGCTTAGTATCAGCAGAATCATTAGATCATTAGAATCATTAGAAACTTAGAATCATTAGGATCTTAGAATGCTTAGAATCTTAGAATCTTGGAATCTTTAGTATCATTAGAATCATTAGAATCATTAGAAGCTTAGTATCAGCAGAATCATTAGAATCATTAGAATCATTAGAATCATTAGAAGCATTAGAATGATTAGAATAATTAGAATCATTAGAAGCTTAGAATGCTTAGAATCATTAGAATCTTTAGAATCATTAGAATTCACTAGAAATTCATTAGAAATTCATTAGAATTAAGATGAATGGATATTTTCAGGTTTTTTAAATGAATTATTGAAAAGTTGAATGTAGATTTGGGTAATTTGAGCGTTTTTTTATCGTCAGATACCTAAATTAGCAAGTTTTCGCAACTGCCAAAACACCATTCTGGCAGGGAAGTAGAATGTTAGAAGCTGTAATAGTATTTGACTACGTACCTAAACAAAACTTAGGCCCAATAATGAACTTCCGAATATTTTGAGAAGAAGCATGGTTGGTCGGTCTATGCAAGTCGGTCTGCAGTCGGCTATGCAGTCGGCTAGCGTCGAGCTATGCAGTCGGCTATGGTCGGTCTATGCAAGCGGCTATGAAGTCGGCTATGAGCGGCTATGCAGCGCTAGCAGCGGCATGGTCGGCTTGCCGTTCTCTAAGTTAAACAAGGAACTTTGGGGTAAAATCTTTCTTTAATCTTCGAATACACAAATCTCAAAAACCCTACTCGTTTTCTAGTTTTTCAATTTACAACTTCAACGTCAAAATCCAAAACAAATTCTAGTTTCAAAGTTTTTTTCGAATCCGCAAACCATTTTTGCAAGTTCTCCATTCCCAAATTGTTTTTTTTCCTGACATTTCACCGTTTCTTTTTTCAAAAACAGGTGAAAACCTGAATTTTTAAGAAAAATTGAACTTTATTGCATAAACTAGGAAAAGATTTTGACGTAATTCTTGCGAAATCATGAATTTTATTTTTAAATGAATCATTTGAAATGCGTGGGTTTTGCAAAAAAAAGCCTGAATATGTTTGGGTAAAGTCATTGAACAAAAGTAGGTGAGCAATTGTTTGCTGTTTGCTTTGTCGATCAAATTTCATTAAAGCTAAAAATAATTTGGTGAGAGAGAAAGAAAGACGAAAGTTTTGCTAAATTGGGTTATAGGTGAGTAGAAAAAGCTTTGAAATCTATAGAAATTGCATAAAAAGAGCTATACAATAATCTTATTTTAATTAAAAGAGTCATAAGTACAATAGTATGATGTAAAACTGTAAAGCTGGTTATGTTTCGAGTGCTAATCGAGTCTGGGTTGTTATACTTATAGATCTTAGACAAATTCAAATCAAAAATATCTTTATGAAAGTTTTGAAAGCAAAAGCAAAGCAAGATCTGGTACTTGTCGGTTATGCTGGCTTATTGACTAACTAAATTAGCATTAAACTACTGCTATTTCTATTGTAGGTTAATCTAGAAGTATTCCTTGAACATCCCCCGGCCGTTGAAAGAGAGGTCAAAACCCCTGTGGAGAGAGGAGTTTAAACAGCTCGAGAGTGTATAGCAAAAACTTTTATGCCAGAAAGCACGCGTTTTCAGCAGATTCAAGATTTTAATTACAGATTCGGATTGCCCGTTTGATTTTCTATTGAATCAGCTAGGTCTCGTTTCGAAATACTCGAAATAGACCTAGTACTCTTCTTTAGTTAGATTTGGCCTCAACTGGCCTCAACTGGCCTCAACTGGCCTCAAATGCCCTTAACTGGCCTACTTGACCTCAACTGGCTTAATTACATTCCTTAGCCTTACCAGAAGCTAAGTCTTGACCAGACTTCTGATCGGGCACTGGTTTTATTTTGAACTGGTCTAGACTTGTCTTCTGGTGGAGCAAGAAACTTGATGTGAACGCCAGAAATTAAGCCAACAGCTAGCCAGTCTTGAGCACCTTTTCCAATCCGTTATTTGTTCTTTTACTTCAACTTAACGAGTTAATTGCAAGAACTGAGCTAAAATGCAGAAAGATTTGAGCAAAATGGACAAAGATTTGTCTGAAACAGGATAAAAGGAATAATTTAACTTGTATTTAGCACTGACTATATTAAACAGTGAGTAAATAAACAAATTTTGAACATTATATAAAAATATTGGGAAAAGATATTTAAGCGAGACAAGAATTAAGCGAAATTCGCGCTTTTTCCCTCAGTCGTTTCACATTTTTTCTCACTTTCAAACTACTTTTAGATGTGAATTTGTAAGCTTCAATGAAAATCGCGGCGATAGAAATTTAGCCTTAGAAATGTTAAAAGATAAAAGCAATACCAAGTGTCAGCAATTTCTTTAAAATCTATGCAAAACAATTCGTTTCCAGAGATCCGGCAGCGACTACTAGACGAAGAAAAAAGCCGTCTTCAAACAATCTCAAAAAATATTTCTTTTTCCCATGATCCGTGCCCCTGTGCTCCCCTCGATCTCTTCTTCTTTAAAATCTCATAATTTTCCATTTCTAACTTCTCTATTAAATTCGTCATATCCATTATTGTACAGAACAAAAAAAAAATCAAAATTAAATATGAAAATGTTTTGTGTTTGTCTGTTTTTACTGTGTGCCGGTAATAAAGAATTCTTTTGTTCAAAAATTAAACTTTTTAAAAACATTTATCAGTCTTTTATCATAAAGTCGCTTTGGAAAATCAATGGGTTTGCTGTTAGTGAGTTAGCTGTTAGCTTTTAGAAGTTTGAAGGTTTCAATCTAAGCTGCTTTAATTACTCAAGCCTATTCTGTGGCCATAGGTATAGATAAACTCGATGAAAGTTACACATTTGTCCGCAGCATTGTCTTTCTTTTTAGTTTTAAATATACTTTCCCCCAAACTAACCCCATTTTCCGCGCTTTGATCTAATCCTTTTAGTTCAAAAACAAACTTTGAATCTCTACTCGAAAGTTCTTTCTCATCTCATGTTTTTTATTGTCTAGAAAAAGTCACTTGACTCAAAAACATCTCATTTTCAGTTATCGGACATTTAATACCAATGGGAAAGGGACAGGGCGCGTATAAAAGGTGGGACATCGCCCTTCTGCCATTGCCATTGGCATGCAACTTTGAGCTCAAATATCTTGGCTTCGGGCTATCTAATTTAAATGTTCTTGGTATCATTAGATCCGCCAAGTCTTTCTCTGTCGATTGGTGCAAAAATTATTGAAATTGGACAGCTCAACACTAAGAAATTTGAGATCAAAATTAGATTGCCAATTGTAAAAGGGCGGGGCGTGTATCAAATGTCTCACGATCCTCATTTTCTTTCGAAATAATGACCTTAAAGGATTTCATTGTGGAATCGAGTTTGATCTGTAATTTTGAATGAGAAACCCCTTTCTCAATGAGAAGCCCTTTAATGAAAACGAAGGCAATGCAAACAATTTGAGGCTCACTGAAAAAAAAGGCTTTTCTGCTTTGTTCTTTTCTCAAATGCTTGATAAGCTCTTTTGAAATATAAAAGTTCATTTGAAAATAACTCAAATGATCTAACATATCTACAAAAATATTTAAATTAACTAGAAACCAGGTCTAGATTATGTTTGGCTTTGGCTTTGGCAACAAAGCAGCAAAGCCGGATAGATCAGGACAAGCATAGGTTTTCGGCTTTGGCTTAACTTAAAGAACTAGCTCAGAATATCTTTGACTAAGAACTATATCTACAAAATTATTGGGTTGGGGAGAATGAGTCGGCGCCGAAAATGAAAAAAATGTCTAAAACTTCTATTCGACTTCGTCAAATAGTATGCGTTTGATATGAGTAGAATGGTTAAATAATTCTCTACAAAATGACATTTAAAAGAAAATTCAAACGGCGCCTCCGCTCAAGAAAAAGCCATTTTTTCACAAAAACTACAAACTGTGATCTAGAAAAAACCATTGGTGGGATCTTCCTGCAAATTTGGCAACTTAAGTAATTGAATGTGCTCTATCTTTTTTATCTAAACACCAAAGAAGATTTATGTGAAAGAAACTGTTCAAATGATGAGTCGGACTCTTTGCCATTTTAACCAGCTGCGTTTGGAAGTTCATAAACTCCACGAAAGAAAAGCTTTGTGGAATCTCTCAAAAGTGATTTTGTAGAGAAATAGTAGATCCTTTTGATGAAACCAAACGTATGTTTAAAGAAGGCTTCATGTGTGCAAAAAGTCCCTTTAAAGTTGGGCGCCGATTCATTCTCCCCAACCCAATACTTAAATTAACTAGAAACCAGGTCTAGATTATGTTTGGCTTTGGCTTTGGCAGCAAAGCCGCAAAGCCGGATAGATCCAGGACAGGCATAGCTTTTCGACTTTAGTTTAACTTAGAGAACTAGCTCAGAATATCTTTGACTAAGAATTGTCATTTAAAAAGTTTACAATTCAGTTGCTGTATTCAGTAAAAGTATTCAGTTGAACAACTGAATATTGAATATGAAATAGTATTGAAAAAGAAGAAAAACAAAGTTATTTAGTATTGAAATTTTCTAAACACAGAGTTCCAGAGCTTTCGCTTACTTTCATGAAGTCCAAAACCCTTTCAGACACTCACAGAAAAATAAAAATAATTATTAATCTTTCATTTTTATTCGTAATCCAAATATAAACGTTTTTTTTATCAAAAAAAAACATTTGAGATCATCACAGAAGGCACACAATGACATCACTTTGGAGATGGGAAAATAGGGAAAATCTCAATGAATTGAAGAATTATGTACATGATTTTAAATAACAAAAGTATTAGGCTTCAAGAAAAAACATACAGAATCTCTTTTCATTCCTAGATCATAATGGAATTTTAGATTCCAACGATACTTTAACTTTTTGGTAAACCTCACTGCAGAGAACAAATGAATTTTCAAGTTTTGAGCGAGTTTTGTTAGAGAATCGATTCAAATAATAATTGACATTCGTTTTTGAGTCAGTAGTACGTTTTAGACTCTCTCCTTAACGCAGAAACATCATCATGACTACTCCACAATGGTCGATCTCGACGACCAGCCATCGGCGAGGCGAAATCCTCTCGACTTTCCGCTATTGCTACCTGAAATGTTTGAAATATTAAACGCATAAGATTTAGATTCAGAAATCCTACAAAATCTAGTTCCTTGGTTGTTTCAGAACCAAAAATACCTTCGCTTCAAGTTCAGGATCGAGACAAAACGTTCTTTTTCTAGTTTTGATATCAGAGCTGTCTCTTTTTGTGTGACAAATTTTATTTTACTAGCAAGGGAAGGCTGAGCCAGCTAAATGCTATGCGACTTATACCATTCGACGCAGAATTTTCTGCTGATTCTGAATATGTATTCGGTTTTTACTAAATGATAATCTGCTAAGAGTTATAAGCGTCTAAAGTTTTGTTAGGAGTCTGAAAATGTGGATCTTGGCGGTATTTGGTCTATGATCTTAGTGGCCTTCTTGCGGAGCCGAGTCATTGCACCCGTGGCCGAGTGGTAGAGCGTTTGTTTCCGAGGCCTCGCAGGTTCGATCCCCAGTTCGGACCTCCTGGTTTCTGTTGCTTTTTTCAAGAAATGCTGACTAGTACAATCGCATTCCATCTGGCATATCGCTTTCCATATATAAAGCCATAAGGTATTGTTCGGCATCAACCGTTCGTTGACTGAACGTTGGTGAAATCACATTTAAAGAAGTACTCAAAGAAAACTTGACTATGCTTCCGCCCAATTTCTGTATGATCAAGTGAAATTTGTGTTGAATTTTGTGATTTTAAAAGGAGACTAAGCATTTGACCATTGGATTTCAAGCCATTTTTTGCTTTTTTTCTGGCTCTAAAAGGCTGTTTACAGCTGTCGTATGGAGCTTTTCATTTTAAAATCACCGCACTTGTTTCTTGCTATTTCCGAATGGTAACGCCAATCCTCTCGAGCTTGTTTTCGACACTTTTGGATGTGAATTTTCTGGATAAATCGTTGACGACGCTTCACCGATTTTCGAAATTGCCTAAAAAATTCATTTTGTGGCTACACGTCATTTTTAGTCACGGAATTGTGTTTCTGGAAATAATTTGCGGGTAGAATTTCTACGGGAAAGGGTGAAGAAACCGGGGGAAAATTGTCGGTTCGTCATGGGGAATCACATCGAAAGGAACGCGTGTAAAGAAATTTCTCACCTTGGGGGTTTAGATTTGAGTTGTTTTGAAATTATTGTATCGTTTTGTTTAGGTTCTGATCCCCAAAGGAGCAAAAAGAGTAGGAGCAAAAAGCCAATAAGTAGTAAAAGCCAATAAGAAGCAACACGTTTAAAATGTGTCAACTTTTAAAGACTACCGTAACCTTTGCTCTAGTTTACCCAATCTATCTAGTTTTTGAGGGCTTGCTAGGTGAGAAATTCAAAAGTAAATAGATTGGATAAATAGTTGGAGTTGCAACTAGTTAACTTCCTCTGGAGTAAGGGAGATCCAGTGCGTTGTGGTGTAATGTTTAGCACATTTGCCCGGTAAGCGAAAGGTCGCGGGTTCGAGTCCTGGTTTATTGATCCGAGTTATTGATCTACCCTAGTTCCTACTAAATTTTGGAAGGATTACGGTAGATTTCAAAAATTGACACGTTTCAGAAAACGCTTTTCTTGAGGAGAAAAACCCTGACCGTAACAAATGAGGGATTTTACAGGGTGACCCCAAAGTATAGCGACGACTTTTTGGAAAAGTACCTCGAAAATGCTTAACTTATTTTAAAAGTGGCAAGTGTTATATAGAGAATTATAGCTCTTAATCTTGGCTACATTTATCTACCAAAAGCTTTCCGATTGGATTTATAAAACTCATTTAACAAGCGCTTGAATGAGCGCTGCTCAATATCATTCAAGCGCTCATTCAAGTGCTTGTAAAATGAGTTGTATAATTCCAATCGAGAAGCTTTTGGTAGATAGATGTAGCCAAGATTAAGGGCTACAATTCCCTATTTAACATTTGCCCCTTTAAAATAAATTAGCTATTTCCCAGCTACTTTTCCAAAAAGTTGTCGCTAGATTTTTTGGTCACCCTGACGATGAATCAAGTTCAGCTCAAAAGAACCAAAAGTTCGGATAAAGTTTTGCTAGTTTGCAAACTAAACTCTAGCCTAACCTGTCTAATATTCGGAGTCGAACGTTCCTCTTTCCCGACTCCTTCCTTTTTTGCTTGAAAGTGAACCCACAACATCGCCAAAAAAGCCATTGTTTGAAGGGCGGCAATCAGCAAAAAAGTAAACCCAGGCATCCATGTCACCTGAAATTTTCTTAATGAAATTTCTCTCCTCATTTCGTTCTTCATTTCTTGCAATCATGTTTTTCGGTTTTTCATTAAACTTCTCAAAAAAGCAATCACCGTCCATCGGTAAACATTCGTGTAAAGAGCGGCTGTGAGAATGAAAGCCGCATCGGCGCCAATTCCAAAAAGAGCCAAGGTTCGACCGATTTCTGAGGAGGCAACAACCTCAAAACAATTGGATTTGATTTGAATTTGACTTAAATTGAAATTTGAATCTAAAAAATGAAAAATAAAGGCTAATTGAAGAAGTTTTTGGCTTAGTAGAAAGTTTTTTAACAAAAAAGTTTTGAGTTTCCGCTTGGCCAGAACATTTTTTGGATTAAATCACAAGCAAGCATGAAAATGACTATTGATCTGACCACAAAAAACCTTTCTGACTTCTAACCTAGCTATGATCTTGCTCATCTAGGTCTACCCTGGTTTATAACCCTGTAGTTTATGGTTTATAGTGCAATCTGTGCCACCCAGTGCTTCATAAAAGTTTTTTTCACCTGACTGTGAGTCATAAAAGTTTTTTTGCCCATTTTGAACGATAAAAATTGAATTGCAATCTGTGAAAAACCTGTGAACTATTTCAAAAAAGCCCAAAACCAAGGGAGGGATCGAATCCGAGCCAACCGAACCCTGCCGTACTACCGAGAGTCCATTCTACTATCGACTAGGCCACTGCTGCTCAAAGGGCCCCACTTGAAAAGCGCCCTTTAAAGCTTATCTTCGATGCTATCTTCACAGCAATCTTCAAAATTTCAATTTAATTTTTAAGCGTTTGCAAGCTTATTCGGCAGATTTTGTTTTCAGATTATGAATCTCCATACTCGATTTAGTAAGATTAAAAGTTTTAATAAGATTTCTGTAGTCCGGAAAGCTCACAAAAAGCTTTTGCCTTTCCCTAGTCAGCTTTGACTATATTTAAAGTTCAAACACTTGATTGTCAATTAAAATTCAAAACTTTATCACTTTATCATCAAAACCTGGGTCATAAAAGAGACGACAGCTGGCTGAACGAGTCCCGCGAACATTCCCACCACATTTGCCACGTACATCATCCAATCCGAAACGGCTACTCCTGCAATTGATGGTGTTTTAATCAAACTTAATTACCTACAACAATAATCCTTATATTAATATAATAATATAATAATAATATAATAGTAATATAATAGTAATATAACAATTCCGATAAATTTACCTATAATAATTGTTCGAAGAGTTGACGAAACGATCCCAATCAGAATGAGAGTCGTTTCTCGGAAATCGAGTGCTTTCTTGAAGACGACAAGGCCAAAAATCGTTCCAACAATCACTAAACATAATAATAATCTACTGTATATAAAGGGACTAAGACGTAAGTCTGTCTGTCTGTCTGTCTGTCTGTCTGTCTGTCTGTCTGTCTGTCTGTCTGTCTGTCTGTCTGTCTGTCTGTCTGTCCGTTCGTCTGTCTGCCGGTGCGCGCTGCTCCTCAGCCCCTAGAGGACCGTTTGCAATAATTTTTGCGCAGTTGAATAGGGAATTACATGTAGTTGTGCGGGTGGTTTTGAATTTTTTCAAAAGAACAATTCGAGTCGTACGGGGAGGTCGAACCCGGATCAGATGGGCGATAGACCGGCGCGCTATCCACTGCTTCACGGCGACAAAAGCCGTCCATCCTCAAAACATTCAGAAAAAAAACCGCCGTGAGGCGGTAATAATATAATAATATAATATGAGTGAATATTGTGTGCGTTTGTGTTTCTGGCAATTTTCATAGTAATCAACTCACACATCATATATCCCATTCCATTCCAATAGCCGAGATCCTCCGAATCCCAGCCGAGTGCTCCATTTTCAGTGCGACGAAAGACAAAATTGTTGATCACAGAGCCAATTCCAGCTGAAAGTTGAAAAATTAAGAATCAATTAAATCAAGCAAAGCATAATTGTAGAAATCAATACACCAATCAATCAATACTAATTTTAAATAAGAATTTTGTGATTTTAAATTTAAATTTGTGAACTTATAAACAACTTCCAAACAATCAAAGGACTTGTAAACAACTTATAAACAACTCCTAAACAATCAAGGGACTTGTAAACAACTTCTAAACAGTTAAAGTACTTATAAACAATCAAAAAACTTCTAAACAATCAAAATCAGAAAGCCCAACTATCCATCTAATATTGGAAGATCTAATTTTGTAGATTTAAATCATAACTCCTTTCTTACTTGTTCTTGTTTCTACTTGTGTCGTATAGGTCAACATGAGGACGATCACTGTGATGAACATGAATGCGCGACGATGTCCGACTCTTGGTCGTCGATATGTGTAGATACATTCCTAGATTTTGTCTTTTCACCGTACCCTTCCCATTTTCTTTTTTTCAATCAAATCTCACAACATTTTAAGCTCAAATTTCATTGGGCACTTTTCCCCATTTTACCCTAAAAAGTACGAACCGTTTGAAAAACCAAAAACAACGTTTTCGAGTAATGGAATTTGTTAAAAGGTTGTTTTTGGCGGCAAGCACATTTATTTTAATCGTAAATGGACTCAATTAGCAAAGAAGTCTGAAATTTTAACACCCTCACTTTTCAAGCTAAATAGGGACTGAGTCGAAATGTGTGTAAATGATATTTTTAGAATTTCGAATAATAGTGAAATGCCATAAAGTTCAAGTTTTGATTAGATTTTGATTTTGAGTTTTGATTTACATTTGAGAGTTTACAAAACGAAATTCTAGATTGACTACTTTGGTAAGCGAAGGAAATGTAATTGTATTGGAGTAAAAACAAATAAAAGAAAGCATTTAGCCTTTCAGGTGAACACAGACTGCGGGAATCGACTCCTTTCCTGTCATGTTGATACTCGGGAATTGCTAACAGGGTGGATTGGTAAAACCAATTGTAGCTTTATCATGATAATAAAGATCTATTTTCATCATAAAATGAATCTAGATAAGCGATTTTTGCGGCTGTGTCACGAATTTTGCTTGGCATTGCATTGAGGCACTTTGGGAGATCTCAACTCTTTTCCCTGGTCTCATCCCAGAAAAAGCTATCGATGTTTCAAATCAGCACACGGTAATACTCTTTGGACTTTGGCTTTGGCTATTTGGATGATCATTTTAATATTAAAACCAAATACAATTCCTTCAGGCTAGATCTAACAAGGGAAGGCACAAATTCAAAGTGAACTTTTGTCTGGACACTGCACTTTATAGAATCGGGTATGAGGGAATCAGAATTTAAATCAAAATCTATGCAAACGATTTTCCTGGCGTTTAACACTTCAATCGAAAATTTGACGTTAAAACGTAGGAAAAAGGCAAACACAAAAGGTGCAAAAGGGAGCGAACCCTGACCTAGTGGGCGGAAGAGCAAGTCGTTGCCCATTGGGCTACCAACGTACCGATAAAAAGATAGGAAGAGCGTCCGATAGGAAAAATGGCCTAAAAGGATCCTAACACCAACGTCCGTTTCTTTTTAGAAAGTAGCCTTTTAAGCTTTTTCAAAAAGACAAGGTGCGTTGGTGGCCTAGTGGATTCTAGTGGCCTTTGAGGTGGGCATAGGACTTGAGAATCCAGACCTCTTTGCTGTCATGTCGACATTCGGAATTCAACAAGTTGAATAGGTAAATCAATTGTAAACTTTATCATGATAATAAAGATCTATTTTCATATGTAAAATGAATCTAAATAAGCGATTTTTGCGGCTCGTCACGAATTTTGTACTTGGCTTTAAGACCTTTAATTGGAGAAAAAACACTTTAAGAGATCTCGATTCTCTAAGCCATCATAGAAAGATCATTTTAACAAAACAAACACATTACGCAGTTTCCCGAAACGAATCTTGTTCTCAATTTTGCTTCACAAACCTTATAAAGCGCGACGACGTCACCGAGAAACCCACGCAACTTTCGCACACTCGACAACGAGGTGATCGTCGTCACTAAATTCGTTTTCGATACTTTCTCTCTGCATTCCTTTCGTCATCATTGGCTCGTTGTGCAAATTTTCATTTATTTTCATTTATTTCATTTGTTTCTCATTTAGTTTCTGCTCATTTCGCTTTTTTTTCGTTCATTAAAGTCAGAAAGGCCGAAAATGAAATTCCCCTTTTCATTGTTGACTCAATGGTCAGCTTTTAGCGGAATTTCATTTATCGTCAAAATATTATCCAGCAATTTGAGGATTGGCTGGAAAAAGTTGCTAGTGTGGTGATGAGTAAAAGGTTTTCAAATGCTATTGGGTTGGGGAGTAGGAAATGGTGCCGACTTTTAAAGAAACTTCGAATCGAATAGTCTAATCGAATAGTTCGAATCGAATAATCGAATAGACAACAAACATCGAATAGTCTTTATGAAATGAAACTAAAATCATTAAAAATCTCACTTATTTCTCTACAAAATCATCATCAATTTTTGAAAAATAGTCAAGTTTATCGAAAAATCTGAGAAGAATTCATGGCTTCATTGAAATAGAACTTTAAAAAGCCCCCTAATTAGTATAGATGCTGGTTTATTCAACCAATCAACCAACCAATTCAAACCAATTAATCACAATACAGAAACAAATCCTATTGAAGCCTTAACCTAAACTACCTAATGCTATAACAGAACTTAGATCTTCAAATTCTTAACTTAAGCATAACTCTTGAAAGTCAATGATCATTATTTTCTGGAGTGACGATGCTGGTCAATGAAAGGAAATAATCTAGGAAAGGAAATAAGCGTTTTTAATGGCTGTAGTTTATGTGCAAGCTTAGTTTTGCAGTTTTGCAAGAGTAGTTTAATTTCAAAGGCCACATTGCCCTGCGCTTAGGATAACTCTGAACCTGCGACTAACCGAGCTCAACTTTGCTTAACTTGGCAGATCTGACGGGATACCGTGTTTCAACGTGGCGAGAACGTAAATTCAATAAGAAAGTCTTTCAGAAAACCGATAAATGATCATTTAGAGAAAATCACTGACGAGATTACTATAATAATAATAATAATGTATGCCGGGCTTATCGGTGATTTATTTTGCACACACATATTCGATTTACATTAGGACCTAGGGAATATTCAATCGTTTGTGAGGATTGGACGATGTAGGAGGAGAAGGCTACCCGCTTTATAGGAGCTTGCGCCTTAGACAATTCTACTCATTTGGATCCCTGTTAATCCCAATCCCGAGGGGAAGGGGCCTAGGGGAACCGGTCTTGGGAACCAGTTCATCATATGGCCTATAAGGGACCGGTCTTGGAAACCCCTTCATCATATGGCCTAGAAGGGACCGGTCTTGGGAACAAGTTCATTATATGGGTGTGGTTACCTACAGCGCTTGGTTCAGGGAAGGTATCCCTGACTCATCTGCTGGATTCGAACCAGACTAACCGGTTCCAACTTTGCTTAACTTGGCAGATCTGACGGGATACCATGTTTCAACGTGGCGAGAACGTAAATTCAATAAGAGAGTCTTTCAGAAAACCGATAAATCATCATTTAGAGAAAATCACTGACGAGATTACTACAAAAAATTTGGCTACTTATGTAATTAAATGTGCTCTAACTGCTCTACTTTTTTTTTAACATAAAAGTTAAGTTTATGTGTAAGAAACAAAGTTAAACGACGAATCGGACTCCTTATCATTTTAACTGGTTTCGTTTAGGAGCCCATAAAATCCGCAAAACAAAAGCTTTTCGGAATCTCTCAAAAGCGATTTTCTAGAGCAATGATAGTCTTTTTTATTATCCAAACAATAAATTATCTGAAGCTTTTATGGGTTTCAGTAAAATTTTTAAAAGTCGGCGTTATTTCATACTCTCTAACCTAATAATTCAGGGAGTTGAAGCAGTTTGAGCTCTAAGGATCTCGAAGCTAAGGAGCAATCAAAATTTGCAGCTGAGAGTTTAAGGGGAGCTCTAGGGAGTTGAAGCAATTTGAGCTCTAAGAGCTTGGAAATCAATTACAAGTTAAATCACAACTTTACATTCGTTCAACCTCTAATTCTCCGCTCGATTTCTTGAAGCCCGGGAATTTGCGGTATTCGAACAAGCGTGTAGATGAATCCTAAAGCAATAAACGCCAACTCGATATCGATAGCTGTCGAGATACCAATCTAAAATGCCATGACTCAACGATGTTCTCATGAATTATTTTCCCTAAGAAAATTAGGTTCTATGAGAGTTTAAGGGGGTAGTCAAAATTTGCATTATTGAGTTAGAATTATTGGGTTGAAGAGTATGAAATGGCGGTGTCTTCAGACGAACTTTTGAAAAAAAACTAAACCATAAGTTTCTCTCAAATTTTCTTCTAATAACAATTGAAGTTTTGTTGCTTAAACGCCAAAATTGCATCCCGATCTGATGCAAAATTTTTGAGGAATGGAGATGAATGTGATGGTCGATTTATTCGACTCAAAATTTACTCCAAGTCGATTTACTCGACTTTTTACTCAAAAATACTCGACTAGCATCCAGTTAAAACGGGCTATTTTATAAGGTCTAATAAAAGATAATGAATCGACCATCACAGCCATCAATGTAGCAGGTCAAAATCGTATCTGTTTAGCAGAACAAATTCCGAATTTGAATTTCGATTGTTTGTTTGTTTTGCCTGCCACTGGACTGCTATTGGGTTGTTTTCAGAAATGAGAGAGGATGCGTTAAAAAGTCTGTGCATCAGAGTAAATTTTGAGTCGAGTAAATCGACCATCACATTCATCTCCATTCCTCAAAAATTTTGCAGCAGATCGGGATGCAATTTTGGCGTTTAAGCAACAAAACTTCAATTGTTATTAGAAGAAAATTTGAGAGAAACTTATGGTTTAGTTTTTTTTCAAAAGTTCATCTGAAGACACCGCCATTTCATACTCTTCAACCCAATACATCAATTTGCATTTAATTTCTCTCTTGATTTGCACGCGATTTTTACTATTTATTTTAACAACCATTTTAACAAATTTCCTAACACATTTTTTATATTTTTTATTTCCTTTACTTACTTTTTTATTATTTAGTTATTAACAAATAAAGCAGCAGCAAATAGATTAAAGTTAAAAGTGTTTGAGTTGAAATTGAATCTATAGAAAGAATTGCTGAAAATTGCCGCAAAATCTGACGTTGACTTTGAGGAAAAATTGCTGTTAGTCACCAAGCAGAAAATTGAAGAAATGGGCTGGGAAGTCCTGCCTCATCCGCCATACAGCCCAGACTTGGCGCCTTCTGACTACCATCTGTTCCGATCAATGCACCACTCCTTGGCCGAGAAAAAGTTCAAGAACCGCGACGAGGCCCAAATTTGGGTGTTCCAAATTGCCGCAAAATCTGACGTTAACTTTGATGAAAAATTGCTGTTAGTAATCGTTAAAAAAATATCAAAAATCTCGTGAAAGTCAACAGAGAAGTTAAATGCAAATTGATGTAATTATGCAAATTTTGAGTGCCCCTAAACTCTCATAGCACGGAAAATTCCAGTAATCTCATTGTTGATAAAAATCAGATTTCATTTGACTACTTGTCGTTGTTCTAAACTGGCTAAACTGTTTGGAAAGCAAAAAAAGTCCAAAAAAGTAAAAAACTGGATTCATTCTCAAAAGAAAACAAACATGATCATGAATGAGACCGGCGAGGAGTCCACCAAGAACTGAAGCTGTTGTTTGCAGCACTGAGAAGATCCCCGATCGCAACGTCAGCTCAGTGGGGCCATTAGAAATATCGGCCAGATAAGCATAACAAGAAACGGGGATCTAAAACAATTCTTGAATTCAAAAAGCAAGCTTTGCTTCGGCTGGAGTACAGTCCCCCCGCGTCCCCACAATTGGGAACTCTCAAGTGGTTTTTCTGGGATAAAAAAAAGTGGATAAAAACGCGATACCTATAGGCAGGTGTAGACGGTGCGAAAGGCCACAAAAAACCGCTGTTTCGGTGGATTTGCCGTCTATTATCAATTTTTTGTGGAAAAAACGTCCGATCCGCATCTGGGATGTTGAAATTCGGATTCTACACACAAAATTACCCCAGAAAAACCACTTGAGAGGTCCTAATTATGGGGAGCGAAGGGGGCAAACAGTACCACAACCAAAAATCCTCCCCCATTATATGGAAAGTACCAAAATTGTTACAAATTAGCCGTAAACTCTACCGAAACCTTCTCTTCTAATTTTCCACCCACCATTGCCACATATCCAGTGAAACCGGTGAAAACGCCGATCACCGTCGTCGTCCAATATGGAGTTGCAGCCGAGTTGGACAGCGTCAACAAATAGCCGTACTCGGAAACGAGCAAGCCGGTGATTCCTAGCAAAATGTTGATCTTTCGACCATTTCGATCCCCATAAGCACCTATAAACATTGTTTTTTGGATCCCCTGGTTTCTTATGTTGAAATTGACAATTGATAAGTTTAAGAAAAAGAAGCAAATTGATAGTTTTATCAAACAAAAAACAAAAGTTTTCTTTTCTCTAATTTAATTTAGATTCCCATTTTGATGGATTGAATCCCATCTTGATTTGAAAATTCTAGAACGACTTTCGGTTTTGATCGATTCTACAAGTTCTTCAAGCCTTACAAGGCAATGGTCAGAAGTGACCGTGAGATTTCAGCATCAAAATGAGATGCAAACACCTATCGAATACGGCGAGTACGATGGTTCGGATTTTGCTAAGGATCGCTAGTTTTTGAGAAAAACGGCTTTGAAATTTCGGAGTCTACTCAGAAACAAGGCACACTTCTATAAAAGAACTTCTTTCGGACCAAGGAAATGCCTCATCGTGGTCAGCGGGTAGAGTTTTTCCCTCCCATTTTTGCGACTCTGCACTTGGCTGGGGTATTTTATATCTTTTATAGGGCTGGCTGGGGTATTTTATATCTTTCAAAGGTTGTAAAAAAGGTTGTATTGATATCGCTTTTACAATATGTGGGATCGGAAAATGTAGCTGACGATGAGCTCTAGTGGGGGATTCAAGTGTTGAGCTTCTGTGAAAACTTTGAAAGCCGTAAACTCGGCATCAACTCGGCTCGCTGGGGTGCACTACTATTAGAGAAAACACGGTGATCTTGACAAAATACCTTTAACCTACCTAACAGAGTATCCGCAAAAATGGCCGGTATTAAATATGATAAAGAATTGTAGAGTGTCCATTCGGCTGATCGCTGTTGAACACTGTCTTCGATGGTGTTGTTGCTGAAAGTTTGTTTGAAAAAGGCAAAACTTACTGTAAAACTCACTTGATATCATAGCAATCAACCATTGGATCGTTTCCATAATAAATTTGACATATCCTAAAGTTTCATTGGTTTCATCGTTCAATTTTTCTTTTAAGCTGAATCTATTGAGTTGGTGAGTTGAAAACTGCCGGACTTTGAACTAAAATTTATTCAACACAAAACCATCAATTCGTTCCAAATAATTTCCATTATTATTGACGACTTCTGCCCATTTTACAAGCAATTTGCGGACTCCTCTTTCGTAGTAGGATTTTGGTTTGTGTGTGAGACAAGTGTGAGAGTCAAAAATGGAGGGGTGGAGATGGAGACTGGAGATCCCAGTTTGAGCACTTTCTTCAAAAGAAACCCATTTTGGTGTCAATAGAAAAGTTGTAGAGAATCAAAAATTAGGCTTATAGCCAAATTTCTAAAAAGATACACTTAGTAGTTTGGCTTAAAATGAAAGTTTTGTGAAAATTCGTAATTTTGGCGTAAATTTGACATTTCTTGAAAACCAGTTTTTGAATCGTTCTGAAAATTTGGATATAAGCTTGATTTTTGATTCTCTACAACTTTTCTATTGACACCAAAATGGGTTTCTTTCGAAGAAAGTGCTCAAACTGTCTGGTTTGTGTGTGAGACAAGTGTGAGACTCAAAAATGGGGGACTGGAGACTGGAGCTGTCCTAGTTTGAGCACTTTCTTCAAAAGAAACCCATTTTGGTGTCAATAGAAAAGTTGTAGAGAATCAAAAATTAGGTTTATAGCCAAATTTTCAAAAAGATACACTTAGTAGTTTCGCTTAAAATCCAAGTTTTGTGAAAATTCGTAAATTTGGCGTTTCTTGAACACCAGTTTTTGAATCGTTCTGAAAATTTGGATATAAGCTTGATTTTTGATTCTCTACAACTATTCCATTGACACCAAAATGGGTTTCTTTTGAAGAAAGTGCTCAAACTGTCACATATGACAATAGCCGGCAGTTTTCAATTCACCAACCCAATAGTTTGCAGCTAAAGCCTCAAAGCTCTTCAAAAGTGTAATAATTTTACTAGTACTTTAAAAGATATTCAGTCAAAGATAGGTTTTCAATTAAGCGGAATACTTTAATGGTTTTGAAAAAAACGAAAATTGACCTTCGATAAATCTCGGGTGATTGCACGGTATTCCCAAAAACGTATCCAAAATACACTAAAACGATCACCGGCTCCACACTCAATCGTTGCAAGAAAAATCGCGTTTTCTCCGCCCATTTCTTCACTTTTTCTTTTTTCATCTCTTGAGAATTCTTTAAGAATCATCATTTTGAGAGAAAAATAACAGAAATGGATAAAAAATGGTGTGAGAATTGTCATTTTAGAATTTAGAATAGAAAAAGAATTAGAATTAGATCTCTATTAGAAATAGAAAGAAATTTGAAGGTTAAACAATCATTTTTTTGATAAAATAGAAATGAGAATTGATTGTCAGCATGGGATTTAATAAAATGCAAAACAATAGATGGAAGACTGTCTCAAAAAAAAAGCAAACAAGTCAAAAAGGAAAAAGTTATGAAGCTAAAAGTTGATAAATAAAGGTTTTATGACTGTTGGATTCAAGTAAAAGCCAACTTTGATAAAGATTAAAACATTTCCTGAACACTTTCGAAACTTTTCGAGCTAAAGGAATCGATATGGTAATTAGAGAGATAAAAACATAGAGAAAATCTGTGTCAAAGTTGAACTACCTACCTGGAAGGATCGATCCACTTAAATGGTCTATAACTCAAGATGTAAAAGCTGAATTAACTCATGGTTGGTTTTATTAGAATCTACATTAAATTTGACTAAAGAAAACTAATCGATATGGTAATTAGAGTAATTAGGCTTTTGCAGCGTTAAAAACTAAGTTTCTAAAAGGATTTGTTCGTTGTATTTGAGAAAAATTGGTATCTAGTCAAAAGTTGATACAATTGATGTCGATTAGTTGAAAAGATTCAGAGAAATGAGCTCAATTAACGTCCGCCAAAATGATCCATTTATCGAAATGTATTCAATTGATTGCTGTTGAAAAATGAAGAATGAATGAGTCAGAGAAATGGGTTGCTTATGAAATGGAGAGCATAAATATTCTCAAATCCTTTGTTCTTACTATTAACAGATAAAGATAGATACAGATAACAGATAAAGAATGGCCTATAGGGGACTCACAATTCTAGTGCTGCACTTCGGAGAGTCTAGATTGGTCAAAATTGGATCAATCGCTCTGATTTTTCTGGAGGTAAATCTTAAGAATGTCTTCTGAAACCATGCCCATTATCTAATCGATCCAACCTTTCAACTTTTTTATATAACCTTCCAAAGTTGAGAGCAGAATGTCGCTCGGCACCCTACTCATTTATGGGATTTTTGAAAGCGATCTTGTCAAAATCTTGTTGAGATTGAATTTATTATGTTAATGAACAAAATTTCCCGTTCTCTACGCAGTTTAAGTGCAAAAGTTCTTGAGAAATGTCACCAAAACTCACTTAATATCGTCAGTTTTCACTTGAACCATTTATGCGACATTCAGAGAAACCATTAAAAAGAAAATCTGTTTTTTTTCAAGGTCTATCACTTTTAAATTTTATAAATAAATATGATTAATTGAAAATCATTAAAATCTTAAAGATTTTTTATTAAAGAAACTAGTTTTTCTCTCATAGATGAGTAGGATGCCGAGCGAGACTTGGCTCTCAACTTTGGAAGGTTAGATAAAAAAGTTGAAAGGTTGGATCGATTAGATAATGGTCATGGTTTCAGGAGAAATACTTAAGATTTACCTCCAGAAAAATCAGAACGACTGATTCGATTTTGACCAATCTAGGCCCTTTGAAGTGCGACACTAGTTGTGAGTCCCCTATAGGCCATTCTTTAGCTGTTAACAGTAAGAACAATAACAAAAGGATTTAGAGATATCCATTAGAGCGCTCCATTTCATAAGCCCATTTCTCTGACTGTTCATTCTTTGTACGCCAGCAGCAATAATTGGATACGGCTCGATAATGCGCTTGGTGAGTTAATCGAGCTCACATCCCATAAATGAGCAGGGTACCGGGCGACACCTCTGCTCTCCCCAGCTTTGCCGAGCGACTTTGGAAGGTTATATAAAAAGTTGAAGGTTGAATTGATTGTAATGTCGGCATCGTCTCCGGAGACATTATTAAGATTTACCTTCCAGAAAAATCGAGCACGATTGATTCACTTTCCAGTCAATCTGGGGCCTTTGAAGTGCGACACTAGAATTGTAGAGTGACCCTGTAGATCACGTAAAACAGAGTTTAACAAGGTAAAACAAAAAAAGATTCCTTTCATTCTTCTTTAGTTTATTTTCAACTGGTCATTCTTTTTAACGCCAAAACTAATGACTTTTGTGACCTTAAACTCTATTGAGCAGTTGAGAATGAGAGTTGAGGTGAGTTGAGAGAATGAGAATGAGTTGAGAATGAGAGTTAGAGTTGGAGTTGAGATTTAACCAAATTAAACTAGAGAAAGTCGTACAAGATTGGAGGAACTTTTGAAAGCAGAAGAAGTACAACATTGTAGACCTCTTGCATGAAGAAGAAGTTCATTTTCAGATTTAAATTCGAGAAATGGGTCTTATAGAAAAAGTTAAAGAAAAGAATCAAATGTAATTTGAAATCGAGACGACAAATGATTGTTAGCCGTTTTCTATTGTTCTTCACCGGACATTGTATGGATTGGCCGAAGAAAGGCGCCGAAAAAAATTCCTTTTTTTCCCCAAATTCATGCCAAAGATAAGAAGATTTTTGTGTTAGGTTTCAATACTCCCGAGTGTCTAAATAATTGTATTTACTTTATGAATAATTTGATCAATCTTGTTGATATCTTTGACTAGTCAGTTATCTTTTTAAATCGATTTTATCTTTTTCAGTTTTTTCATTCTCCAGATCTCTCCAAATTATGTCTCCAATCTTCAGTTTGAGGAGTGTTTTGAAAGAATAAATTAGCAAACAGTTTTACTAATCTTCTTTTTTGAATTTATTTATTATAAACAAAAGAAAAAGATAAAGAAATCACTAAAATCACTCTTTTGTTGATTCTGTTTAGGGTTTACTTTTCTCGTCTATTTCCTTAAGATTTGATGAGAAATGTTAATCCGCAAAGAAATCAAAAAATTTTAGGATATAATAGCATAATAGTAAGAGAATTTAAGAATTTGATTGTAAATGAAATCAGAAAAAGTATTGGGTTGAGTGAATTGAAAAACTTGGAGATGTCTGATGTCTAATGCGAGCACTTTCTTCAAAAGAAATCCATTTTGGTGTCAATGGAAAGTTGTAGAGGATCAAAAATCAAGCTATATCTAAATTTTTCCAGAACGATTCAAAAACTGGTTTTCAAGAAATGTCCAAATTTAAGAAAGAAATGCCAAATCGTTCACAAAACTTGCATTTCAAGCAGAAACTACTAAGTGTATCTTTTTGGGAATTGGCTTTCAAGCTAATTCTTGATTCTCTACAGCTTTTCTATTGTACACCAAAATGGGTTTCTTTTAAAGAAGTGCTCAAACTGGGACAGCTCGGTCTCAGTCTCCAGTCCTCCATTTTTTAGTCGACACTTATCTTACCCACAAACCAAATCCTACGACGAAAGAGGAATCCACAAATTGCCTGTATAAATTAGGCAGAAGTCGTTAATAATAATGGAAATTATTTGGAATGAATTGATTGTTTTATGTTGAATAAATTTTAGTTCAAAAGTCCCGCAGTCCTCAATTCACCAATCCAATATTTTCTTAAAAATTTGATCAGAAATGGTGAATCCGAAAGAAATCAAAAGATTTTTGGATGAAATACAAAAAAGTGATGAAGTAAAGATGGGAATTTAAGAATTTGATTGTAAAATGAAATCAGAGAGTACCTATTCCTCTAATAAACGCCCCTCCCTTGGAACTTTGGACATATTTCTCAGCTCCATTTAAGATAGTTTATGTTTAATATATCAAAAGATAGAAGACATTAAGGGCTATCTTTGATATATTCATCTAAAAATATCTCAAATGGAGCTGAGAACGAAGCGTCCAAAGTTGGTCAGGGGGGGGGGGCGTTTGTCACAGGAAATACGGTAGTTAACTGATAAAATTTTAGTAAAAGATATTCTTTTTATTCAAATTGAAGTTATAATTGTTGTTTTGCTATGTTATTATGTTATTCAATCATTTCTTATTAATCAAGTGCACTAGTAAAAGATATGTTTACATTTTGAAAACAAATTTTATCTTGGAAAATGCGAGCTAGCAATCAAAGAAGCTCCGAAATCTCAATGCTAAGTCATTGCGTGAACTTTTTGGCTGCTAAACATTTTGTTCTTTGTACTGTTGCTACTGTAAATTGTAAATAAATGATTTACTATAAATAAATATAAAAAATATTGTCAATTTTTAAGTACATCTTTAATAAAATTCTTTTGGATTGCGAAATTTTAAAATTTACCCCTGAAAAGAATCTGAAAAGTGGCTGAAAAAAGTCTGAAAAAGAAGAAATTTGTCCACCAAAAAAAACAGATAAAACAAAAAAAAGAAAACAAGACAAGTGGGAAAAGCAATAAAATGAAAGATTTAAGTAAAGATTTAACGTTCTAGGTGACATAAATGAGTAAGAAATTGTTGATTTTTCAGTTCTCTTTTGTCGGGTGACTCAAAAGAAAAACCAGTGATCATTGAATGGTCTCCAATTGAACTCTTTCCCTTATTTGAAAAAGGAAAAATTAGAAAAATTGCTTCAAAAAGCTTTTGACTAGTATTAAACAATTGATCAGAACAAAGCTTTGATGTAAATAAGTTTAAAAATACTAATTTTACAATAACAATATCCGTTGATTGTATTTGACTGATCTTGACAAGTACTTTTGTCGTTTTAAAATTGTTAATCAAGCTTAATCACTTGTTTTTTTTTTAAATCAAGATAACTTAAACTAAACTTAGTTTAAGTTATAAACTTAGTTTAAGTTATAAACTTGGTTTAAGTTTATAAACCCAAAGAAAACAACAAAAAGTACATTAATATTTGAATTTTCAATAGTTTATTGAATAGTTTATTTCACTCAAAACTTTTTAAACCAACAAGTGCGCCCAGACTGGAGGTCTCTTCTCTAGAGCTGACTAGAGATCCCTTCTCTGGCGGAGTTCACTCTTCCACTGGGTTGGCCCATTCATAGCCTGAGGTTATTAAAGCAAAAGAAGCCTATCTTCTATCTATCTATCTTCTTTTCTCCCCGCCTCCACATCGCCGAGTAAAATATCTCATCTTTCTCTATTTATTGTGTATCTTTCTTTCTTTGTGTATTGTCTGACTGATTACGCTTTATTTCATGTCCTGAATAAAGTATGAATATAGTAATATATATATATATATAATATAATATAATATATAATATATATAAGATGTTAAATGACGTCATTCAATTGAACGTGAAACCTTTAGAACATAAGTTCCGATGAAAAAGTTTCGATGAGAGTTAGATTTCTTAGTTTTACTCAGGTTCTAAGTTAGGTTTTACCAGGCTCGTAAACCAGAGGAAAGACTAAGAAATCAGTTTTGATAAGACCAGCAGCTTCTGGCTTTTGAGCTTGTGTTAAAAATTGCCTTTCAATTTGAAAAAACTTGATTAGATGCAAGCCATGCACAAAAAAAAAGTTAAAATAGTTAAAACTTACAGCTATTTGTGAGTAGAGAACGTTTCTCTTGATTAATGCGTTTTCTAAAAGACATTTACTCTAGAAAACTACCGTAATCGGCTTTCTTCGAATCAAGTTTTTCCAAATTGAAAAGCAATTTTTAAAGAAAACTCAGAGCCAGGAAACTGATCTATTCAAACTCGCTTCTTAGCCTTTGCTCTGATTTAAGAGCCTGGTAAAATCTAACTATAGAAATCTTTCAGATCCAGACAAACTTTTGTGGATAGTTTCTCCGTGATTCCAAATATCTAAACCGTTATTGGATGAAAGAGCTAAAAATATGAGATGTTCGGACCTTAAAGTTTACAGAATTTCAATCCCAACACATATTGACTTATACCTTATTGATTTTGACATATTGCTCCATTCCATCAAAACTCTTGCAATAGAGAAAACAAAGTCAATGTAGAATCAAAACCTCTAAAAGTCATTATGGTTTGGGGTACTAGGTTGAAATTTCTGTCAACTTTAGGTTCAAATATCTCAAGATTTTAGCCCCTTCATCCCCAAATTACCTGGATATTTGAAATGTGCGCAGAAAAGGGGCCTAGGAAAAAGTTTCCTTTCGGTCTGGCGTTCAAATCCGAAAGCATCGGTCAGTAAGCGCAAATCTGGAGGGGTTTTCGCACAACCGTGTGGTGTATTGGCTAGCGTGGCTATTGCCAAGAGGAACCAAAAGCCAAGCCCACCAATTCGACCCCGGCTTTCGAACCTGGCAAATAACAGTGCGAAAACGATCAGCCCATTAATGATATCATAAATTTAACTTTGTGATTTCTCATATAATATGGTGCTAAAAAACTACAAACTGTAATGTCAGATTTTTAATGTGATGTAATTTTGTGATGTTAGACCACTCTAGGAGCCACGTGACATCAGCCGTAGAAGAATCGTAGGCTTAGCTTTTTTGAGCCACATGATTCCAAGGTGCGAAGTCATAGCCTAGGAAAAATTGGGCAGAAAAAATTGGCGTCTATACAAAGACTTGGCATCTGTAGTTGTGTATTCTTACTAGAGTGTGTTCCTCGCGAGTGAGTAATTACTGGAGTGAATTTACTCGAGTGATTTTTTACTCGAGTAATAGCTCGAGTAATTGTCGAGTAATACGTTTTCCTAAAAAGTGCGCCTGCATAACGAAAAATATAAAACTAATTTGCAAAAAAAAAAAAGATCTATTTTTACATTAGAAGGGAATTTTGGATCAAATCAATTAAACGGCTGAGTATCTTTAAAAAATATAATGCGGGCTTGTGTTTTTTGCGTCATTTTCTCGCGCAATAATTTTTAGCCAAAAGTGCGGTAATTTTTCCAAGTGTGCATTTTGAACACGTTGACGACAATAGCGTTTTTGCACAAACAATCGCATGGGACAGCGTGTTTTTTTATATCTATTATGTTATAAAAATTAAAATTTTAATAATCAACGGTTAAATGGACATTTCCCGGGACCAAGTCGAATATAGATACTACCCTACTTGCTTATCTAATATCCATCATCAACAAACATAAATATGCACAAAAAAAATCAATTTTAGTACTGTCACCTGACATCAGGTGACCAATGAATGTCCCAGGTGACAATGAATGTCCCAGGTGACAATGAATGTCCCAGGTGACAATAGATGTCCCAGGTGACAATGAATGTCCCAGGTGACAATGAATGTCCCAGGTGACAATGAATGTCCCCAGGTGACAATGAATGTCCCAGGTGACAATGAATGTCCCCAGGTGACAAGTGAATGTCCCAGGTGACAATGAATGTCCCAGGTGACAATGAATATCCCAGGTGACAATGAATGTCCCGAGGTGACAATGAATCCCGGTGACAATGAATGTCCCGGGTGACAATGAATGTCCCAGGTGACAATGAATGTCCCAGGTGACAATGAATGTCCCAGGTGACAATGAATGTCCCAGGTGACAATGAATGTCCCAGGTGACAATGAATGTCCCAGGTGACAATGTCCCAGGCGAACGAATATATGTCAGACAGCATCAGGTGACAATGTCGTCAACGTGTTAAAAAAATCATTATCGATCGCGAGGAACACACTCTAATTCTTACACTTTTTAAAGCGGTGACCATTATAACTTCAAAAAGAAAATCAAATCATAAAGAAAGAAAAGAAAAAAGAAAATAGCTAGAAAGATAAGGGGCTTTTTTTGGGGGAGTGCTTCCACAACCGTGTGGTGTATTGGCTAGCGTTGCTGTTGCCGAATGAAACGAAAAAACCAAGCCCACCAATTTGACTCCGGCATCGGGAAACGAAGCTTTATGAAGTCGATTTGCCCATTATGATATCACTGATTGAATTAACCTAGCGCTTTTATTATGTAATAATTCAAAAATTAGGCTAATCGAATCTCTAAACCAGCTTTTTGATTACTATAATTTTCTAAACACACTTTTAGAAAGTGTATCAGTCAAAAGAAATGCACTCAAAAGCTGTAAATTTACTATAAACATCAGAAATATAAAAAAATTTTTGTTTCGACAAATTTTCCACAGTTTCCAACTGATTGTAAACATTTAAAATCGTTTGCTTTTTGATTTCATAAGCCCTTAAAGCTTTTTGTTGACATGAAAGTTGGTGTTACACAAAAATTTCACAGGAAAACATCAAATTTGATCAATTTTCTTTTTATTAAATCAAATCAAATCAAATTTTATCAAAATCGAAATCAAACATATTTCTTTTCCAAGTTACAAATGAAACAATCAATTTTATCTTTTGTTTCCTGCAATCGCTTTTGACCGCCTCAACTTGTGTCGCTTCTCGATCGGCCAATGATCCGGCAAAGAGTTCATTCATTTTCAATCCATCTCTCATTTGATACCGCGATTCGTCAGCTTTCGTGAAAAGATTTTTCATCTTAGTCCATCGGAATTGCCAAGTTTTCTCGAAATCTTTTCTCTCGGTTCTCGCCATTTTGTGAACAACTCGAGCGTTTGTGTGAAGCGTTTTTTGAGAGTTCACCTGAATTTCCTTTTAAATTTGTTTCACTAAAACAAAACCATTCAAAAACCATTCAAAAACCATTGAAAAATCATTCAAAAACCACTCAAAAATCATTCAAAAATCCAACCTTCGCTTCAGCCATTTCACTTTCGTGATTCAATTGTAGAAACTCATCGATCTCTTCTAGAGTCATACGACTAAAAGAGGATCTAATTTTTAATGAATAGTTGGGTTTGTTGATTCAAAATCGGAATCAGTTCTAGTCCAATCTGTACCTGTAAATAATCCTCCATTTTGTCGCTTCTTCTTGACTCTTCTCCTTGATAATCTCTTCACATTTGGAAGCAATCATAGACGAACCTTCCATCGGTGTCATCGGTAAATCAAACTGAAAAATGTTGAGCAAAATATTTATCAAAATATTGTTATCAAATATTTATCAAAATTCGGTAAAAGCAAAATGTTTGACCGGAGACGGATTCGAACCCTTGATCTCTTGCACTCCGTGCGAGTGCGCTAACCACCCGGCCATACTAAACATGTCTAGGTTTTGTTTTATCATTCTTTAGTTTTCGATCAATCTCTCGTCGGACTCGATAAGCTTAAAGAGTCCAGAAAATTTTTTACCTAAAATGATCGAAATCTAAAGAATGGTAAAACAGAATGGAATGCGCCCGTAGATGGGGCGCGCGACCCTAAAAAACACTAAAAACACCAAAAATCGAACATAACTCTTTTTCTACTGGGTATTTTTTGAAACCTTTTTCAAGAGGCACAACTACATCAAATTTCTGGGAAGCGTCTTTCAGCCGTTTCCCGAAAAACTCACTCCTGTACCCGCTAGAGCTCCGATGGACAGGCAGACGAACAGACAGACAGACGAACAGACGAATAGACGAACATACGGATAGACGAGCAGACCGATAGACGAACAGACAGATAGACGAACAGACGGATAGACGAACAGACTAACACACGGACAGACGAACAAACTAACAGACGGGCAGACGAACAGACGGATAGGCGGACAGACGAACAGACGGATAGACGAACAGACTAACACACGGACAGACTAACAGACTAACAGAAGGACAGACTAACAGACGAACAGACTAAACCGACTAACAGACTGACAGACTAACAGAAGAACAGACTGACAGACTAACAGACTAACAGACTAACAGACTAACAGACGAACAGACTAACAGACGAACAGACTGACATTTCGAAATTATATATAGATTAACTTTAATTTCATTCTAGCAAAATCATTTAGTAAAATCATCTTCAAAGTTTATTCGCTTACAGAAAAATGACCATTCAGCGAGGCAGCAGAATTGGCATCGGTTTGATTGATGTGCAAACCAGCAATTGATTCTGTGGGAGTTGTAGTCGTAATCTAAAAGTGTAACGGAGAATTTGCAAGTTTATGAGTTGCGTCCGTTCCCTTACGTTCCTATTTGCATTTGATTTACGTCGCTTTTTCGTCTCTCACCCGAAATTTCTTCTTTTTTTCGTTCTTCGAGAGAACTTGTGTGTGTTCTTTCTGTACTAATAAACCGTAAGATTAGAAATCCGTTTTAGAAATCTCTAAACTACCCTTAAGGTTCTAAATTCTGTCTAGATAGCTCGTCTAACATTATAGAAACATAAATATTTGCTAATATTTGTGTAGCCGTCGAGGAAGCGTCAATTCGTTGTTTACGAGCGTTAACCGAGCGTTAGCCTTCGTGTTTTTTTTGTTTCGCTGGATCTTTCGTGTTCTTGTTGTTTTGTGAGCGTTTTGGGGAAACCCGTTTAACGTTTAACAAAAGGTTAAACACCTTTTGTTTGGCTATTCTGAAATAAAATCATTCCTGATGTTAAGGAATCAGATTGGAAACATATTGGAACCATATTGGAACCATATTGGAACGATATTGGAACCATATTGGAACTGTATCCGAACCATATTGGAACGATATTGGAACTGTATCCGAACCATATTGGAACGATATTGGAACCATATTGGAACCATATTGGAACGATATTGGAACCATATTGGAACTGTATCCGAACCATATTGGAACGATATTGGAACTGTATTGGAACCATATTGGAACCATATTGGAACCATATTGGAACTGTATCCGAACTATATTGGAACTATATTGGAGCCGTATCCGAACCATATTGGAACCATATTGGAACCGGATCACAACCCGAATTTATGTTTTTCCCTAAAAACTCAGGATTGACGCATTTGAAAAATTAACCAACCAAAAATGAGATTAGATTGATGTGGGTTAACTAACGGTTTAGCAGTTTAGCAGTTTAGCTCTTCAGATTGATGTACCATACAAAATATTAACATTTACCACATCTAGATTTTCGTCGAAAGGATTCGAACCGATCGTTGTAGTTTCACTTCGAGCACTCGACTTGGATTTGGTGCTGGTGGTTGAACGGCGAAGAACAAGTTTAGCCAAAGCTCTCTTTCTCTGAAAACATGCAAAATCGATATTTCAATAGTGACATTATACTAAATTGTGGAGAAAAAACTTACCTTCGACATCTCAAAGTTAAAGTTTATAAGTTCTCAAGATTTCGGCTCACAAATCAGAAATTCTGAATGTCAAATGTAAAACCCGGGAACAGCTGGTGAATAAGAATTCTTTTCAAGGAGCCGATGAGAATTTGATTTCTTTTGAAAGGCTTTCTTTCCCCTCTATCGATGTCGATTGAGTCATCGCTTTCATTTCGATTGTTTCTGTCTGAAAAGCACCTCGAATTTTCTCGAAGCGAAAACATGGTTGCAAAACTTTTAAGTCGAACATAAAGAGGAAAACAAAGAGCAAAACATCAAGAGTTGAAGTTAGATGATAATATCTTCAATAAATAACAAATAACAACTTAAATACTTAAATAATAACGCAAAAAAAGTGCTGTATTGAAAAGTTCTTACCCCTATCAAAAGATCGTCGTTTCTTCAGAAAAAATAAAATAAAATAGAGAAAAATGGACATTAAATTTGAAAACTTTGACTATTTTTACTAGAAGAATGCTTTTTTTTTTAAAATTTTTGTTTCAAAAATCTCTTTTTGACTCGATTACTTGCGGTACTTATTTACTTTTTTTTGGTAAGCTAATTGATTTTGGTCACTCAATTGATTTTAAAATGTGAAAGCCGAAGTAAAACCAATCAATTTTTAAAGATTAGAAAAAAAACCTGTTTCTTTAAAACTAGACGTTTTAAGGTCAGATTGGTTAAGAGCTCGTCATTTTTAACACATTTCAATGATCTGATCTACCAATGGGTCAGGTGCGTTCTGGATCCTGGGACGGTTTGACCTACCAATGGATCAGGTGCGTTCTGGCCCCCGGGACGTTCTGACCCACCGTTGGATCAGGTGCATTCTGTCCCCTTGCACGGTCTGACCCACCGTTGGATCAGATGCGTTCTGGCCCCCGGGAGGGTCTGACCCACCGTTGGATCAGGTGCATTCTGTCCCCTTGGACGGTCTGACCCACTTTTTTCAGTTTGTTCTAACCTATTTTCAGCTTGTTCTAACCTATTTTCTAGCTAAAGTACGCGCGACTACTATTTCCGGCCTTAGGGGTTGCTGTAGTTGAAAACTAAAACCGGATTCGAATTCTCCATGTTTGTTTTCAATATTATGCAAGATAATTTCCTTGTCGAGTTTCTTTAGCACATTTGTGGGAACATTTTTCGAAAAGCCGCTAGCTGAAAAGCAGAAAAGTGATTTTTGTCTTCCTCGAATACGGAAAATAATTAAATTTTTTATTGTTTTCTTTCTAAGCGATTTATCCAGATGCTTTGATGACGCAGAGCTTGTTGACGGAGTTGCACGGGGCGGTGGCATTCGGGCATTGTGTACACGCGGTGGCAAATGTTGTTCCGGCCAGGTAAACGGAGACGCCGGCGCCCAGAGCTCTGAATGGGGTTAAAGATTTATACTGTTTAAGATGTGTGCAAAGAAAGCAGATGCAGCTTTCTAAAGATATCATTCATTAGGTCCTTTTAAGCAGTCCTTTAAGCTTTTAAGCAGTCCTTTAAGCTTTTAAGCAGTTTTAAGCATTTGCTGATTGGGTTCAATCGTAGTCGATGCGAATTTCAAATTTCAAGATCGATTTAGTGAGGATAGGAAGAAATCGAGCAACATTCGAGCATTGAGCAACGAGTAGCTTACCTGGGGTACATATGACAGACGGTCGCGTATTGATTGTTTGTCATGTTAATGTAGGCACAGCCGATTTGGGTGGTTTGTCCGGAGATGATCTAAAAAAAACAATAACGTTGAAGGAATTGTGAAGTAGGATTGCAATGGCGTTTTTGAAATCGTATTGCGTCACCTGATAGTTGAAGTTATAGTAGTTGTTGCCACTATTGGGCTGATAGGCCATCGAGGGGAGGCCGAAACTGTTTAAATAGTTGCCCCACGAGCTACTCCAAGCGGCATCGACTAAAGCTGCTGATTAAATTTTGACAAATCGTTTTTCGAAAATCCTTTTAGTCACTCTTTAATCACACTAGTCCTGGGTGAAGCTGATTGTTTAAACAAACAGCGAAAGCTGATTGTTTAAACAAATTTTAGGAAGAAATTTAGCTTTGTCTCATTACGAGGTGATCAAAAAGTCCACACACGACTTTTTCTAAAAGCAGCTAGTAAATATCTAACTTTTAGTATTACATAGGGATTTGAAGCCCTAATTCTTGGCTAAGTTTCAGAAAATACAGAAAATTTACTACATTTTTGTGAGTTCAATGTTTTGATAAAACATTATCTACAAGTCAAAAATCTCACGCCAAATTTCGTAACCCTTGTAGTCGAAAATCACTTACACATAGCCTGTGCAGTCATTGTGTTTGGAGCGATTCCATAGAGAACACCATGAGTGATTTCTCCGACACTGCTTGGCACTGTTCCAGTCATCTGGCTTCCCGAAAGAGTGTTCAGACGATTGACAGCGGCGGTGGCCAACGAGGCGTTCCATTGCTGAATTAGCATTGATCATTGTTATCCATCGACTACACTACCAGACTGTACATCTTCTTGGCTGGTGGATAATACTTGACTGGTGGTTTTGGACCACCTCCCTAAATTGAATGATCTCCAGAAATGTTATTATTTGTTACCCATTGATAGTCGTACTCGGCCTCGTAGTCATGCCATTGTTGTTGTCCCTTTGCCACTTTTGAGCGATGAGCGATGAACTTCTGAACATCCGAACGATTTTAATTACTTTTATTTCTTATCTACTATTGACTAGAGTCGTGTTTATTTGTATGAACTCACATTTAGGACATATGTTCTTGTTGTTCCCGAGTAGACAACCGCTGCTCCAGTTGCAACTGAAATCAAGCTGCGTTTCACATCAAGTGCTCCACATTGTTTTCTTATTGTTTTCTTATTGTTTTCTTATTGTTTTAATCATTTTTCTTTCTTTTTCCTGTCTGATTTTTTTATTTTAGATTGATGCCGTCTACAACAGCTCTTGACGAGTTTGGTAAAGGACAAGTTACTTTATTTGCATAGCTAAGGACTCTCGAATCGAGAGATTGCTCGAAAACTGGGAAAATCCCGTTTTTCGATCGGTCGCTACCTTCAAAACCTTTAAAAATATGAAAAAGAAAAACGTAGCAACTACAAGAAGAAGGTTAATGACCGAGCTGTCAGTAAATAGTATTCACGGAAAGTCGATTAATGATGTCCGTGGTGAGCTGAAGCTTAATGTCTCGAAGTTGGTCGTCTTGTTTGGAGAGCAGATGGTCTGCTCTCCAAACAACTCCACAGATCGGATGTATTAAGGAGCAGGAAAGCATTGAGCTACAAGTGAATTGAACGCTAATAATCATGAAATTGATTCTAAGTTCTTTCTCTATAGTGAAGCCAAACAAGAAATGCCTTGACGAAGCAACTCAGCGTCCGACTCACCCCCGATGAAGACAAGAAGTGCGATGAGGGTTCTCATTCCGCTAGGCTGAAAATGTCGAGAAGTGGGGAGAATGGGAATAGAATGATTTCCAACTCCCGTCCATTGCTTTTATATCCGATCAAATCTCGATCTGTGATGGCCATTCACTTTTTTTAATAAGGGATCGAGTAAACGGGCGTTCAGCATATTCTCTCTTTGTCGATGATCGAAAATCGCTCTCGTGGAATCCCTATTCAATTGAAATCGTGAGATGTAGTCAATCCGATGCTACGTTCTGTTGTGTTCGAGCCAAAGAATCAAAATTGAAGAGCAAACTGCCCACACAGTTTTCCGAGAAGTGAAAAGACTGGAGGTAGAAACTACATATTCTAGCTACATGCAAACCCTTGAAGAAAAGACTTTCGAACTTTTTATCATCGATTTCAATTGAAATTTGATTGATCGATTGCAAAGAGATAAGATTCTTTCTTAGAGATCTTTCTTAGCTTCATGGCTTTGCTTCAAAAGCCTTGAAGAAAAAGTTTGTTTTGTTTTGTTCAAATTTTTCAATTTACTAGATTTATGCAAAAGAAATTTCGCTTTTACAAATTCGCAAATTCGCAAATCTTCAATTTATCAAAATTCCTTTAAGTAACAATTTATTCTAAACAATAAGCACCATCGTTATCTATAATATCAAAATATTGCCATCGTTATCTATACAATCCCTTCAACGTTGCTTCTGATTGCCGATCCCCTTATCGAAATCTTGATTCTGTGATTGAAAGTAGTCGGTCACCCAAATCTCTTGATGATCACCCAAATGAATTCTTAAACTAGCAATTCGCAAGGAAATGTTGCGCCTTTGGGGGGGGGGAAAAAAAAAGGGGTAGGTTTTGAAGGGGGGGGGGGGGGAAGGGGGGGGGGGGGGGAAGGAGGGGGGGGGGGGGGAAGGGGGCGGGGGGCAAAAAGGCCAAAGGAAAAAGGGGCGGAAGAAAGGGGGGGGGGGGAAAAAGGGGGGGGGGGAGAAAGGGGGCGGGGGAGGGGGGGGGGGGGGGAGGAAAGGGCCCAGGGGAAAAGGGGGGGGGGGGGAGGGGGGGGGGGGGGGAGGGGGGGCCGGGGGGAGAGAGGGGCCGGGGGAAGGGGGGGGGGGGGGGCGAAAGGGGCCCGGGGGGGGGGGGGGGGGGGGGGGGGGGGGGGGGGGGGGGGGGGGGGGGGGGGGGGGGGGGGGGGGGGGGGGGGGGCGGGGGGGGGGGGGGGGGGGGGGGGGGGGGGGGGGGGGCGGGGGGGGGGGGGGGGGGGGGGGGGGGGGGGGGGGGGGGGGGGGGGGGGGGGGGGGGGGGGGGGGGGGGGGGGGGGGGGGGGGGGGGGGGGGGGGGGGGGGGGGGGGGGGGGGGGGGGGGGGAGGGGGGGGGGGGGGGGGGGGGGGGGGGGCCGGGGCGGGGGGGGGGGGGGGGGGGGGGGGGGGGCAAGATGGCGCCATGGATTCTAATTGGCCCATTTACTGATGGCCCATGGACTAGATGGCCCATGGACTAGATGGCCCATGGACTAGATGGCCCATGGACTAGATGGCCCATGGACTAGGGCCCATGGACTAGATGGCCCATGGACTAGATGGCCCATGGACTAGATGGC